GCGGCATCATAAGAGGAGGAGTGATATGGTTGCTACAATCATCTTCACGGGTAAAGGAAAGTATGGGTTAGCAACCTAATTTTTACGGCCGAGTATGGTAACAAGTAATTGAACTGATGGATAGGGCTACTAACCAGAAAATGAAACTACTACCAACAGGGAACTCTTCGCTCAGAGGCCTCTACCCTTATACATATATGTTGTTAACAGTGCGTCGAAGCAGATCTTACGCTTATCGCGTACCATAAACCCTCAAATGTAACAATTTATAACCATAACAAAGTTCACTTGTTTTGATCTGTGCTCCATCCATCAACCCATCACAATTATAACCAACAATCCAAAATTGTGGGAACAAGTGTATTCTCTAAACAGTTACAGGTTTTTTTGAACGATTATGGTGGATATTCTGAAAGGGTACTGTAACTGGAATGATATTTATTCGTTTATGATTGATCATGCTAGACAAGAAATTCCTCATTCATGACTCAGACTAGCCCTGTCGACATTTGGAAATACAAAGAAAACAAAAGTGAAAATTTTGTATTGAACTCAAGAGAAAACGAAGAGTTCCATTCTTTGAACCTCTTGCACTTTGAAACTGACTGAAACTGGAAAAATCAACCAAACAAGCAAAAATCCTTAAAAATCTGACTTCAAACCAAATGTTGAAAAGGCTGATATGGGTAGATTAAGCAGCTAAATTGAGGAGTAGACCAGAGTTGCTACTAAAAGTTAGCTTTAACAGTCGCCACTGTTGTGTCGGAGAGTAAAAGTTTCAAGTCAAAAGTGTTACAGTAATAACCTACCTTCGATAGGGGCTTCGATTGTGACGACGGGGCACAACCCCTTCGTCGGGTAGAAACACTTGTACCGAGCCCTCCTTCAGATCAGGCAAACCACAAATCGCATGTGTTGTATCACAGTAGTAATCACATCGGGATACAAAACAATGATTTTTGGCTGAAAATTGTTTGAAATAGATCACCACTAGCGATTACTACAGTAACTCTGCCTATTGCATTACTTCAATCCTATCCTTCATTAACAAAAATGATTAACATTTCAATATTTACGACATTTATACGGATAAATTACCAAATACTATTAATAGGGTCATTAGTCAGCTCAAGATTCTAACCACCCAATCAAAGAGGAGCACAAACGTCGAAACAAAGAAAAGGGCCATTCTAGAAACGATTGGATGTTTTTCCATTTACTTTGAATTTTACTACTTAACTACTGCTCTATGGTTATACATGCCATCCATGCTTTACAACTATAGCTGTAATATTGACGCCTTATTTTACCCTTCTTTGTGCTACATTATCTTTTCTGAAATCTCGCCTGTGCCGGTGTCACAGTCAAAATTGACCGAGTACAATGACCCTGGTGGGGGAACTTATTTTTTAAAAACCGAAAAATCGGATCAAAATTGATTAGCAACTGTTAATTCATACCAGGTGAGATGAAAAACGTCTTCTTCAGCTTCTTCTCAGCCTTATCGAACAGTTCCGATGTCATGTTAACGATTCGCCCCACTGTGGGAACAGCACGACGGAAGCCGAGGACTCTGAACCAGCAAAGCTTTTCAGGGAGGTACTCGCAAGTTACAAAAAAGTCTCAAGTTCGCTCCGATTTGTAGAAAATTCCCATTTTTATTGAAATACCCCCACATGAAACAATCTATGTGGGCGATGGATTGTAATGCACGTTTTCCATTCCCATGAGCCAGCCAGAGCTGCCTCTTTTCTCACTGATATACAATCTCTTGGAAATCCACTTGATTCTCATGAAACATTCCCGATTCCCATAGGATATCCTATGTCATACGGGCGTTCCAACATTATCCAGAGCACCCACCACCACACATACCNAAAGCACACACCTGTCCAAATGAAAAGTGGCGATTTCAGCGTTATGCCGTTCGAAGTCACTGAAGTAGAAATGATTCGGATCTGATTCATAATCGCGACCGAATCTGAAAACATCTTCATTTATTACAGCCCGATGATTTTAATGAATAGCGAGCATTGAACATACCTCATTGGCTTAAAAACGGCTTGTTTATCATTTTCGAATGTGAACACCAGTTTTGCCTAAACAACATTCTATGTATAGAATCATGTGTACATATCAGTAATTACCATTCATAAGCCATGGTAAGCTCAGGGAGGCGCAGAATTGGAGCCACCGGCAAATCCTACTTGACTACTGTGGGCTCTTACTTTATCAGATATCGGTGATCGAGGCTTTCTATGGGAAGTATTCTAAGGCCGCTCGAAAAATATATCTCAAAAATTGTAGTACTGTAGATATTTTTTAGAATGTTCTGGAGGTTCCCTTGGGACTACTAAATATGTAGGTACACTTCCCACCTGAATACGACTCCCTCTTCTTTGCCTATTAACTTTACTTGTACTGACCGAACTGTCTCACCATACTCGACACGTTCCCCATTACGAGTTGAATTCTGGCTACTCCAATGCTTAAAGGCAGAGTTCACGATTAAAACGGTTTCTGAGATTTCCCGGTAGTATGAATTCGGGGTCTCCTCTGTACGATACATGCCGTTATGTGGTCGACAAACGTCCTGGATAGGGATTAATAAGGAGCCAGGAATTGCATCATGTGAATGCCACACCCATAGTGGACGAGTTTCAATGATTCTTTAAAGGCTGCACTATCTCGAGGGACCCCATGTAGGAGGTTCCAACAACCTTTCATGACCCATGGCGACAGTGAAAGGCAATTCCGAACAGTTTCGGCTTGATGTAGTCATCTCCTTGCGCATTGGAAGCAAGTTAAATCTCGTCCAAATACCCTTGCATGCCATTCCCGTCACAGTGATCTCGTACAACCTCCACGTACTCTACTTTAAAAAACCTTGAAGTAGATGGAGTTTCTCGTTTTTTTGCCACCGATGTACTACTCTACATCAACACATTCACTTTTCAACCTTAAAGGCACCTCAAAATTATCGTGAACTGTGCCTTTAAGCCCATCGAAACCTGTGCCAGGGATTTGGCATCGAAGCCCCTTCCAAACGATTCCATACATGCCTCCTTCTACCTCATCAAAGCTGAAAACAAAAACTCAATGCTCAGGCTCGATGTGGTCAACCGACTACCATTTCATAAAATATCTGAACATGTTATGCGCGTACAGGTGAGTACTGCCTTTTCCCAGTTATTCTACGGCAACTTCCAGAACTTTGCAGAAACTTCAGGCTCTCGTGAAATTTTCGGCCAATTCTCTCTGTCCATCCTCATGGGTAAGCCCTGGGATGAGCGCATTAGGCTTGGTAGTCACTGAATGATCCAGCCTTTAATTAGTAAACAGGATTTGTTCCATACCAATTTCAATAGAGGAGGATTTGTCTGGATACAGTCATTTCGTTCAGTCAAAAATAGAACAGAATTCCCAAATTATTTCGGAACATACGCCTTCTATATGACCCATATAAATTGAGCACCACCTACCTGTGTTCCGCCGTCCATGATATGTACAGCCTTAATTACAGCTTGATTCAGGTCCGTAAGTAAATCATCAACTAGTCGATCATTACTGTATACACTACAGCTACCAATATCTGCATAGAATTTTTCCCATGAATCACGAGTTGGAACAGATTTTCTGGAACAAATCCAAGATATGACATCCATCAATAAAAATTAATAATGATAAATAGTAGTAAAATAACACCACGTACTGCTTCGTTTTTAACCAGTATTTGGCCAAAGTGATATTTTGATGGCATTCTTTAGCCGATAATGCTTCAAGATCCCTGCCTTTGATGAATCTATAGAGTTTGTTTAACAGCACCCGATTGACATGCGACGGAAAGTCTGCAAATAAGACTGCGATAATATCGTAGAGGGTTGAGTTGCACCTTCACACACACACAGACACACTCGGACACAAAACGTTCCATCCGTCCCGTCCGTCCCTCTTTCATCGCCCAGCTCATGCCCGAAAAAAAAAACAGGCGCCGATTCGCACTAAAATGCATCAGCACCCGTTGACACCGACGAGGTGAAAAAGAGCTTGATGAATAAGTAAATGTCTGGTAATTGATCCCTTCCAGCCCCCAAACGCAGTATTTATCCAACCACGCATAATGCTCTCGGAAATCGGCTTAGCTCGACGACGGTCAATCCACTAGATTACCGTCTCTCGGATGATTAATTACCATAGTTCATCATGCATATTCTGCACACTATAATCTTTTACAAATTATTGAGACGACTGACCAAATGGATCTTCACCAGTATCTTTTCGAAGTAAACTAGGAGGATTTGGTTGCTTTTGGAATGACATTTGGGGTCCAACTCGAGCCGAGCGTTGTGCATTCTCGGCTGGCGACTTTCCTCCATATTGTAGCAGCTCAATGGATCGAGGAGCCTCATCCCATTCTCCTGAAACTCGAGCCATTACTTCATTACTGCTGAGACAAGCCCACAGCATGTATTTGCGGTGCATTACGTCAGATAGGCGTTTTGCTCTGCAGATTTATGATGCTTCCATATGAACATCATTTATAAGCCCCTTAGTTCGACCCCTCAGATTAAAAACTTCAGGCAACAGGGGATTTCCAATAGCTATATTGAGCTCTAATGCGCAAAGAGGCTTTGTAAAAAAGGGTAGGGAGGGTTTCTATCTAACAGAGTATGTGGGAGTAGATCCAACAGTAAAGTAAAAAGGTAGAGTATTCAAAGGTGAATAGGAGGCAGCTTTTTGTCCAACTCTCACCCCAGACAGCCGGATGTGTGCCCTAGCCATATCAAATGTGACTTAGTTTGATCTACATTTAGTGATCGAATAAGATATGGTAATCATCGATAACTTATGATATTAAAAAATGTGATATCGAGAGGCACAGGCTCTTCGAAAACTGTAAATCAGTATAATCCGAATTCCAATCGAACAGGACCGTCCTGGCCATGTGCTTTACAGTGGCAATAGAGCTGTACACTGTAGGAATCAACAGCTTTTAAGTTGTGAATGTTTAATCTTCAGAGTATTTATATTTATAAAGTATTGTAATTTTGGAAATAATATCCTGATACAACAACATGTCATACCACAAACTTCAATAAACTTGTTTTGCAAAGGGTGTAGGTTGCAGTAAGTTGTCATTTGGTTTACAGCAACCAGTTTAAATTAGTTGACGGAAGTGAAAATTGTAAAGAGCAAAAGATCAAAAAGTTTCGTAATCAAGAAGAGTGGGCGACTAGAGAATAAGAAAGGATGGAAAACAGAGGAAAAATGATGAAATTAATGGAAATTCACACTGATGAACTTGTTAAACTTAACGAAAAAAATCGATCGAAAAATACAGAAAAATCCATTTTCTAATGTTACTTTATAATGTTACAAGTAGGAACTGAACAGGGATCAACACTTAAAGTACACAATGACACTCATTATTCAATGACGTCAAATGCATCGGGGCCGTTCTTTGCCCTTTCAAGGCTCTTCGTTTTTTTCTTCGGCGAATTTGCAGGCAACTGATGTCTGTGTTTCACATTCAAGGTCTCGATGGTTACTGATTAATTAATCAATTAACTACTTTTCGAATCAAAGTAGCATTTGTTCGAAAAAGAGTTGTTTATTTATGTAAAGATAAAACAAACTGATAAGTGAACGCACATCAGTCAATGTTTATAGATTACAAAAACATCTAGAATACTGTTGCAAGAGGATCACCAGAGAACGAAAAGTTCCAAATAATCAATGATTTTGGAAAAAGAAAAGGCGACGGCTCCCAATTTATTCAGGACGCCCACTAAATAACAAAAGCAAACTAAAGAATGAATTTAATGTTCACTTTTTCAGAAAGTCGGATACCCCGGTGGAAACGATAAAGTTTCCAAAAACTCAGCTGCTCTGCTTTTACAAATCAAAAAAGGAAAAATAAAAATAATTATGAATTTAAAATGTTTAGCCCATCGAGTAAAGCAGTAGAAACCTGCAGCTACAGTTGAAGGAATCAAGGAATAAATTAAACGCCTTAAACACTTCGTAGAAAAACGTAGTGGAAATTGTAAGCAGAGTATCAAAGTACAATTTTGGCAGTAAATAGTAATCTATTGTAGTAATGTATCGGATGTTTTGTTTACAGATTACTTCAGAGCAACCAAATGTTCAGTACGAAAATCGATCAAAAATCTCAAACGTCAGTAAATAGAAGAGAGTATCAGAGACCACAATTCAAGATTTACTCTTTATTTACTTTACCTTTCATTTGATTACTTTTTACTTTTTCCAGAGCCAGTCATTACAAAAAGTGGATAGTCTTAGAATTTGAGAATGATTGCAAAGTCAGCAAATAATGAAAAGCAACTTCTCAGGAAAGGTCATATTTATTTTACGGCGTCAGATAACGACGGCTGTTTTTCATTACTATTGAAGAGTTTTTGAATTAAATCAATACTACCAGTAACGCCATAGGTCCAGTAGGTAGAGGCAGGCAGATACTTCCGCAACATCGCCAAAGCGCAAATTCCGTTTTAATTGAGATATCGATGAAAAGAATGACTGAACTCACGTCCAAAGTTGTCACGAGGTAATGACAGAAGGACGAGTGTTGCGCCAAAGGCGACAAAGGCGAGCGTGAATATCCGTTTGATGTTGCAACGCATTCGGACCACTCACATCACGTCCTTTTGTCGCCGAATCTTCCTATTACCAAATAGTATTAACTATAGTTACATGATAAGTAGTAATGTAGTAAAGTACAACAGATTAACATCACGTCACACACGCGAGAGCTGTAAGAAATGTGAAGGCAACATTAGAAATTCAGCGGAAAAATGCTATAAAGTAGCTAATGGAATTCGTCAAGATAGGCCTTTATGTTTCGACTTTATACTAGTATACATCAGCGCAGATGTACCTTACAATGTCCAAACAGTTACCGAAAACTCCCATGTCCCCCCATGTGCGTGGGAAGGGGCTGACCGACCCGGCCAAAAGGCAGGAGGAGCCAACACCAATGCATGTGATAACGACGGAAACTGCCCGTTTCAACAACATGTTAGGAAGCCAAGTGATGGGTGGTGGTAGTTAATTAGTAAGTAAGGTAAATTGAGTAGAAACGATTCGTTGCTCACAGGAATGTAGGTAAAGGTCAATAGCAGACCAAACAAAAACAAAAAACAAATGCAGTATGTTTGCAAACCGGTTCTGGCCCATAAATTTCGGCATGAAATCGGAATTTCTATGAGTCTATGTGTGCGGCATAATAATGCGAAATAACATCGAGAGTCTCGAAGGGCAAAAATCAGTTGAGTACAGGTGGCAGATGAACAAACAGGAAACGATCCGAAATATTCACGAACAAACGTCGTCAACGTTGAACATGACCAGATCATTAGGTGGAATGTGCCGTTGACATAGCTTACATTGGAGGGTATCGGCTGACTGAACAAACATTGTTTAGCATGCGTGCATGTGTGTGTGTATGTGCATGTGTGGAAAGAATTATAGTATCTACCAGTACCAGTATGTACGTAAGTAAGTAACATGGAAAGTAATAAATTCCTGAACAAATGCTAGGGTAAAAGGTTGACAAACGGCAATTACTTGTAGGTACGTGTATTGAGGAAGCTTTGCAGCAACGACAACAGCCCCCTTTCGACAATGAATTAGAACGGGGAACACTTAGCTACTGGAATAAATAGCTGTTTGTTATGCGACTGGATATTGTCCTCGTTTATGTAGGCTGATTTCTGATCCCATAACAATGCACATTACACCCTTCAATGCTTATTTATATCCAACGGGATGTTTTGGATAAATAGTTTACAATATATCGAAACAACTGGTAAACTTTCGAGACATGAGTCAATCCTGTGAAGCCGACCGGATCAACCTTCTGGATAGGCCTACTGGAGGGGAACAGGACTGAATTACTAGTAAACGATGTCCGTAACACCTGTTACACCCCCTCTATTAACGCCCAAACATCATGATCATTGAGATTACTATATTACTGCACTATGTCAGCACTTTTTGAATCGATATTATTTTCATTAATACTGCATTGATTAGTAACCATTATTAGGGAATAAGCCATGACACCAGTTTTGCACAAGGATTTCGAGAGCGGAAAAGTAAAACGGACAAACAACCTATAGTACTGATATAGAAAGAGCTGTTATGTAAAAGGCACTCGCAGAAGGTCGATTACTAATTGAGATCTTCAAAGGAGTGTTTGCAAAACTTTCTCTAAACTTCCCCCTCTCCTCCCCTCTCACCCCCTCATCTCCTTTCCCGGTTTCCCGGACCGTTCCCAAGTAAAGATTTGATCCTGACTGATAAAGTCTCGTGGCGCAGAAGACTATGAGAGACTCACGAGGATGGCGATTTGTAGGCAAAACTTCAGTCTCGGACGGGATTCGAACCCGTACTTGTACCCGGAAAGCAAAAGTACGGGTTCGAGCCCCGTCCGAGAGTGAAGTTTTCTCCACAAATCGCCAACCTTGTAAGTCAAAACTATGGACAGATTTCTGAGTGTCAGCAATTTGCAATAGAGAAAGAAATGGACATATACAAGATGTCGTGTCATCGGCGTGAACGTGCTACATGGCCATTGAAGTTTGACGTCCTACTGGAGACAAAAGTGGCAGTTGACGGACAGATGCATATGACAGCCCAGAATCCCTTTCATTTCCGCAAATACCACGAGTTTCTTTACACAGCCGTTCCTGTTTGTCTAATATTTGAGCCTGAGTACTCAGGCTAGCCATTAATCAGGAAACGGGTGTAAAAGGAGTCATTTGTAGAAGTGTGAAAGCATCTCAGTAATGCAGGAAGACATGGTTACTAATGAAGTAACTGCGTTTAAAGAGTTATTGAGTAGTACGATAGCATAATGATCACGAGATGGTGGTTTGAGAAAATCACGAGTTTAAAGGATCCACTACCAACTGTTCTCTCGGTACAATGGCAACTTTTCATGTAACCAGTTCTTGATAGACTCGGTAACATCGGTCGTAAAACTAATTGACATAATGGACAAGTAGATTGATTCATTACTAGGTAAAGCGGAAGTAGCATATATGTTTTAAGAGGAAGTAAAAGTTGTTGTTTTGTATGAATACCGATGTGAATACTAGATAAATCAAAACTGGTATTGTAGTGTTACAGATATCACTGAATAGATCAGTAGGGAAAAGATGGCATCCCGTTGTCCAGAACAGGGAAAAAGATCCAGAACCGGAAAGGATTACAAGCGAAACCATCGTCGTTACTGCTCTCCTCCATCATTCACCTCAACAACGTTAACGTTTCGGTAACGTTCCTGAGAATGAGAAAATGGGATTCTGCAGGAAGACAAATGGTCAGTAAACGTCCCACGCTCCACGACAATGAAAAAAAACACGGGCGGCCAAACCCCAATCTGCACTACTTCTATCAGCATTTCCCCCATGAGATTACCGATGGCGACCGTCAGCAGTAAAGCGTCAAAAACAGGGTTTTCAGTGCTCAGTCGTCCGTATTGATTGATCGACTGAGGTATGACGGGTGAGGAGAGGAAGGGGAGAGTACGAACCATCATGACATATGTACGTACAAATGGCATGAATGGCGATCATCACGGATCAAACTTTATTGGATCGTATTGGCTCATAGACCATTGAATAAAGCTGGTGCATTGTTTGATGTGTACAGACGAGGGGAACGACGACCATTGAACGGGACGGGGGAATGACCTCAAGACGGACCACTTCATCAAACTCCGTCCCACGTTCACGGACCACTCGACCTAGTCGTCATCCCAAAAGCTGCCGGCGTGGTAACCCCATCTCTCCAAGCGCATAAAAGAACATCCAGCCCGGCCCGACTGGCTTCGAAAAATGTCTGGTGTTTAATATCAGAATAAAAATAACCAGGAAAAATGTTACGCCTGACCGCCTACTCCGCTCTACTGAGCACGCGGACCAGTGTATTAATTGCCTAATCGGTATAGAATGCTAATGTTACTTTATTTATTCCGGTATATCCCGATATCATTGAACAAATATCCGTGGACCAGTCCCGTTTTTGGTCTGTGATTATCTGCACAATTTACGCCTTGTGAATACAGTACAAATAATGGGACTTTTGGGCCGATTATCGTATCCATCTGATGGCCAACAAAAACTGTATGGCATCCAGTCACCCAGGTGTAGCCCAGCCGACGCCACATTTCGGTGAATGTTAGGATGAGCGGAAAAATGAGCAAAAGGAATTTTGTCAAACCCACAGACAGGAGTGACAAATACGTTAATTAGCAGAAACAGATGTAAAAAAAACATGGAAAAGAGGAAACGGTGTAAAGAAATTTGTCCTTCAGGCAATTTGAAAAATGATCGGCTGGACAAGAACGGCAGCTAACGGCTTCACGTTATGAGAATATAGATAGAAAAACAGTACAATTTCCACGATTTGCAGGCAGTATATTGCAGAATGGAGAAGCAGGTTTGAAAGTTTTGAGAGGGGATAATTATGAAGAATACCAGCAGGTGAACTTCCCACAAAACAAACCTCCCACAATGAAAATGAGGATATGAACAGAGCGAACGTCCAGCAGGCGATACCATGGAGATGAGCCGACAGATAGCACTTATTGGATGGTTCAACGATAAGTTGATGTGCTATGAGCGATCGGGCGGGCGAACATGATGACAGGTTGGACCCTGACATTTCTGCGCCTCGGAAATTTACGCCCAATTGATCGTACTTACAAGTAAAGCAGCATGCTTATCATATAGCATTTTCTGGGGTGCATCCATTTTGTTGTAACAAATGATGAAAACTGGTCATGCAAATGTTGTAACCGAAGATGATCCATGTTATTATACAGTAACATGTATAGATAGGTTCAAAAGATGGGTCGAAGGAAAAATCGCACGTCCTCCTCCCTCTCCTGCTCCCTTCGTTCGGCCCCCATCTGATGGTGCCGAGTGACAATGGCTCTCTATAAGAATAATCGATGGTATCGCTGGCAAGAATGTCATTTTTTTTCTCAGTGCTGATGTCGGCTGCAAAAATCACTAGCTTCTTCTCCATTATTGATGCCCTGAGTACAACGTGCGAATGAAGAGGCCCGGGTGTAAAAATATTGCAGCATTGGAGAAGATTGGGAAAATGTGTAAGAGGGAAGAGAATAAAGTTGGTGTAGGTGGGCTGATGAGAACGCGTATGGGGAATTCCCCTCTATGGTATGGAATGTCAAACAAAAACAACGTTTCACGCCCAGTCTTAGAAATGATCAGAGTGCATGAAGAGCATTTAACAGCTCGATAGTCAATGCAAATTGCCAGCCATTATAGTGGCCAGGAACGCCTAGGCAGCTGCAAATAATAGTAGTGCATCCAAGGTTCCGTTGTGTGTGTGTAAGGGCGACATGTCACACTTTTCGCGTGAAAAAACCATCTGTTTTGAGTAGATTCTCGGGTAACAGTGCCGGGTGCAAGAAATAGCAATTGACATAGTGCGCGAAGAGGATCCGAACATGGATAAGTAGGTGACAGGTGATTTCTTCATGAATGTGTTGCTGCCCCTATGAGGCGGGGTGCGTTAGTCGGTTCGAAGTGGGTCGAAATCGCGGCGTTCTATCAGTTCGAATCGCGGACTAAACTACGGACCGACAAAAAAAAAACGGTCAAGTGAGCGCACTGCACTGTTGCTACACTGACATCTGTCGACACGGTGCTTTGTTTGGCTTCTGCTCATTATACAGTAAATGTGACAACGATGGCAGCCATCCAGCGTCAAGAGGCAATTAGTAGATGAACATCACAAGCACCAAGTGGGATGGCATGACGATAACGTGAAGGAGGAACCAGCTGAGTGCAGTTGATCGACGGCGATTCGACAACGAGGACGGGCAGCATGTGTTTTGTGTGGCAGCTGTTTTCGGGACCTAGACGTGGTTCGGGGTTTTTTGTAAGACTGAACAAAAACGGCTCATAATTGTCGTGGTAGCATCAGGACACGATGCCGTTTGCAGAAGTGGAGATGGACTGACATCTGACATCGTGCCTACCGATAAAAGGGTTATCTGTAGGAAGGTCAAAATGGTAATGTTCATTTCGCTATAACAATGAAGCCGTGGACAGCCGAGGGTACAGAAATGGCACTTAATTGCAAATGCATATTCAATTGGCCCATCACTGGAATCAAGAACATGGCGATAGCATGACAATAAGAGGTCGGAGAATAGCTATGTGACTGTCAGTCAACGCTATCATATGTTGGAGCGACAATAGAGACGTCGACTCCCTCCCAAAGCCCCTCTGTCGTAATAGATAGAGCCGATGGAAGCGGTACGACAAAAAACCAGTTATCGCAGACCAAACCACATCAATGAAACTACCTACGCCTATAGACTGAAGAAACAGCAGCAGCAGCAGCTCGGACCAGACGAAATATGTCAAGAAGTATTTAAATCAAGCGACAAGCAATATATGAGCAGCCATGTGGTTGTGATCAGTCAGTCGGTGAAACGGGCATATGACGGCAGGTTATTTCTCGTATGGGCGGCTAGCATAAGCCCTGTTTGATGTGTGATGAGATAGAAATGATGGCGATCAGCAGCCTAATCTCTCCAGACAACCGTACATCACGTCACCAAGCACAGAGATAACTGCCAACTAATCCTGAGCTTTCTATCCCTGTTACTGGTAACACACAACTTGGTGGTAGTAATGTAAGAGCAGTGCTATGACAACGAAGATTGGCTTCATGCTAGATTAGCGGATGACGTCCAGGCTGATTAGCAGTAGGGCGTATTTCTAAGGCTAAATCCGTCCTAATCGTGATGCCCGCTCTGTTTGCGCAGATTCATCATAGTATCATTACAAATATATAGATTCATTAAAAAGATTGTTAACTAACTGAATCGAGTAACAGTTGAGTTAAAAACAAAGTGGAAGTAGTATTTCTTGACAAAGTAGAACGAGCAAAGTACGATCATAATAGAGTCAGTGGAGGATGGTCGAAAGCGCAATGGAGGATGCTCCAATGGTAATCGAGTAAGTAGACGACGGCATTCCCCCTTGAACAACAACTGAACTCAAGTTTGCACAAACAACAGGCTGTGTGCTAGGTTACTGAAAAGGGGAAGCAAACAGGAATATTCAATTGGGGACAAGTTCATTCATCGACAAGTAGGTAAAGAAATTGAGAGCGCCAACCTATTGCTTCGACTGCTGGCTGCTGGGTCGTCGGATCAGTCAATTACGATCATGAGTTGAAGGGGGGTAAGCCGTTGGTGGTTGACTCACCCACTCCCCTACTCAAAGTACAACCAATCTTTGCTGGGGAAAAAACACACACCAGACCACACTGTGTGAACAATGAGAAAAGGAATGTTGGGCAAAGGGAGGAAACAAGAAACGAGGAAGAACGAGGAGTGATGACACACCGCATAAGGGCAAAACGGCTGCAGTCGAACATCGATTGGTGCTGATCGGTGTGGAGATCAGGCACGAATTTTACGTAAAAAGGGACGAACGCGATGGGTAAACGAGTTGGGCGCAGGGTAGTTAGTTTAATTCCGTTTCACGTCATCCTCTCTGAACTGGTATGTTTAACAGTCACGTTCTGGTATTACAAGTTTATTCAGGATGGGCAGGGATTCACAACACTGAGGTGGTCATGACAGGTATTCGATCTGGGTTCTCGGGTAACGACAAAACTTTTACTTGAATACCAGTCATCAGCTCGGAGACGTGACAGTCAAGACGGTTAACTAGTAGGAACCTGCAATCCTACCAAGTAGCAACTGCCGTCTACTTGTTATTACTGCCAAATGAAGGGTTTGGAAGATATCTTGTGATAGACTTGTTACATTTCGGCGGTACAAAGAATTAGGACGAAAGCGGTGATTCTCATCGCACGGCCCACATCAATCTCATTAGTCGTTTCTTAGCTCTAGTCGGCTGTAATGGCCAACTGGTTATCAAGCCACTCAACGAGATTGATTTACGCACTATAAATATTTCATAGGCGTTCCATTCTTTTACGTATTCGTGCAGGCGATAGCTCTATTCCCAATGGCCATGCAATTTTGGGGCAAACAATTGGTATGATCATGGTTGTGATAATGAGGATGATGATGAACAGCGACGAATATGTGCAGATGGAGATGACGGATGACAGACAGGATGGATGACTGGTTGGATGACGACGAGTACGGGGCAAAGTAGCCAACACACCATAGCAGGCATTGACGCCATAGAGGGCGGAATGTGGTCAGCAGAAATGGTGATGGTTGAGTGATTTCGGGGATGTCCGCCGTAGATTTCCCCTATCAAAGGCGCCGTTTATCCGATCACGGTGAACGTAATTTGTCTATTGGATGTTGGCCTATTCTCTCAAATGATTGCTTTCGGCTTAAACGTGTTACGACTGGCCTCCACGATCTGCCCCCAGAAACCGGAGTAGCCTAAAACAGCTACTACTCGATTGGTTCTTAACACCGCTCCACTCGCTATATACTGGTTTCAAGATCTATTCCGGAACAATCTGGGGTTATTGTATGCTACCGTTTCCCTACTTTTAACCCTCTAGATTGATGGCTCTTAGCAAATTACTGTTCCACGATATGAGAATATTTCAGGAATGTTCGAGTTCCAACGGATGTTTTTCTGAAGTTGTAGTCGTATGACCAGAAAAATGACAAGACAAGCTAAAACCGGAAATCGGAACTGGATGTCATAACTTATGAAAATGAACCAATATTAGAAATTATTTAATTGAGTAACGGAATCCATTACGATGGGAGCCATGATTTGAACCCCCCAAGAATGGCAACCAGTTATTTTTTCAAAGAACGATATCGTGTAGGGAAAGGATGCCCTATTTAGTCGGAGAAAATACAATTTAGTACCAATTTAATTCTGTTAAGTAACTATGATCACTACGAACAACCTTTTATTCAAAGGGAGATGTATAGAATCTTGAAAGCAACTCTGGAACGAGCTCAGTCATACTGCGGTGGATAACAGCTTTCAACTTTTTGATTGGGATACTGACTAACCAGCCAAATAACTTGCAAGAATCCATCGCTATTCAGGTATTGGTGGGAACATGCACATTCACATGCAAGAGCAGAACATTTACATATCCCTTCTAACATCCTCCCGCTAACGATAATCACCCCCTCTAACGAGATCATTACCAGAATGGGGGGCGTTTTTTGAGAGCGTGGCGCATCCTGTTATTGAACCATTGCTGAATCTTATGACACAATCCAACGACCTCAGTATTTCATATGATGCTTTTTTATAATGTATTTATTGAATAACTTTATTATTCACTGATACGTCAGAACATACAAATAAAGAATTCACAAGATACATACATACAGAGAGGGGAAACAATATGGAAAACTTTCTATGCTGTCGTATTTTCATTGTCAAATTCGGGTTTACTGCCAAGGTTCTCCGGCAGTAATGTACTAATAAAATAGAATATTAATACACTAAGAAGACATACGAGCACGGTGCAGGCCTGAAAAATCGACGGTGGCATTTTCATTCTCAGAAAGCACTTAAGAAGCAAGCCATGGCAAGCCGTTCACCTCGATTCACACTAATGAGGACAGAAAATCACTACTGAAGACTGCTCCTTTTCAAATCCTACTGCTGACGACTGTTTCAGTAGAAAACAACCATTCAGGGTGATTTTGTGTAGATTTAAATAACTTTGATGTAAGTGGTAAGTGGTAGGGTAAATCACAATGGTGGAAAGCAGCCCTACTATAGACCGGCCAGGTGGGATTCCTTCCTTCTAATCTTAGCATTCTAAATTTTTCCGTTCCTCAGAGACTTTTGAGGAGCTTAATCGAATGCAGGGTGACGTTAACGTGAACGGGCGATTGCTGTGAAGATCAGGTTGTATCTACGGTATACTGAGAAAGCTACGATGTGGATCTGAATGGAACCGGATCAGGTGAGGTTTGCAGTGAGGTCAAAAAACGTCAAGCACTTTATCGCTTTATCTTCAGCCTTGAAAAACAAATCCCCCCTTCTTAGCTGATGAGTATTGAGAACTCGTTCATGCAGGGAACGGATTTGTAATGACGTGAGCCATACGAAAAAAGAAGATATTAGACGTATCATTCAAAGAACTTTTCTGCTTTAGTGTTCCCATAGTTTCCATGAACGCTGATATGTGATGTTTGAGGTCAGAATGGAAAAAAAAATGAAAAATTGCAGCCTATTCGATGAAGTATCTGAATGAAGGCAAATCAAAGTACGCTTAAGCCATTACCAGAAAATTTCTGGAATACTTAACTATGAACGAAGCCAGCAATTGCGGGTGAAAAAGGGGAGATTTCCGTGCATCGGGTTGGCACGCGTGTCCACGTTCTTGCCATTCCTATTTCAGCCCACTCTGGTCTCTCAAGTGTCTCTGATCTAACCCAGAGATACGAATTCGAGAGTGTTCCACCCGAAGATGTCGAACTCTTTGACGGGTATTTTTGGACCCTCACTTCCAAGAGTCCCACAATTTGACTTTCTTTACCGACGATGTTGAAACCTTTCAACCATTAATCGTACTATAGAGCATTTTATCAAGAATGATCATAAGTAATGGGAAAAGCCTGCAGCATCGACCAGTAACGTTCAAGGATACGCCACGCGCTCAGCAACATCAAAAGACGGCATACGATAGATTTTTTCACCGGTACAGCGAACTGCGTAGAAATCCCAGAAATTACACCCTCCCAAATAAAGTTTTTCGTCGAATAACCGATAATTGAGGTGAGGAAGGTTTCAAAAGTCAAAACCGTATAGACTCTGAAATCCTATCAGTGTTCTATGAATGTAGTAGCAGCGCCACACCATGCTAGCCTGTCCCCCTCTCGTCATCAGAATTTACGCCCTGGGCTTGAATATTTACCTAAAACAAGCGTAATGAGATCTCAGGGACCTCCAATGAAATGGTACTTTTAAATGAACGAAAGAAAGCTATGTCGAAAAATTACCAGTACCTTCTACTCGACTTTTCACTACTACATATTCGTTAATTACTGCTGTATTCTACTAATAGAACATAAATTGGTTGCCGAGGACTGGAAATTGTAAAATCATAGAAAATAATGACTCGTCTTCCAGTAACTTAACAAACCTTTGTTCGAGCCACTTCGTCACTTATTCTTCGCCGGAAAACGCGATCGCGTCGAGTAGGACGAGACTGAAAGAAGAGAATAGCAATAAAAGCATCATGAAAGCCCATTTTTTCCGCTCCTGCATTCAGAGGATTTCGTGACGTTCATGAACGATGAGATACCACTTATAAGTAGCGCACCATCATTTCCCTTAACTATTACTACCACACATCTATTAGCAACCTGTTAGCAACCCTAGCTACCCTTAAGCTGCAAATAAATGCAACCCCAACGCATGCAGATGCGAAATCAATTTTAATAATTCAAAAATTCAAAAACTAAAAAATGAAGAAAGATTCAACAAAAAGGAGCAACAGCTGAAGTCGCTTTTTTTTTCGTAGCAACACAACTTGACCCATATTAATCATTATGAAATTCCTTCTCTCGAAACCGGTGCGTTGGACAATTGCCAGCCCACTGTTGTCAAAATATCAATATTAATATTCACAATTGCATTTGTTTCCTGTTAACGTCAGGACTATAGTAGGTTCTTACATCTCCACATCAGTGGAGGCGGAGGAGGTGGTACAGTGCAAATGGCGCACTACCACATGCATAGTCCGGGGATCGAAACCCGGTACGATACTTGCCTAGGCCTCGTGCCTTCCATTTCTACTGGATCGGTTAATTGGAGTCACACCCGTCTGGGAAGATAAAATCAAATCGCCAAAAAGCTGTTTTTCAAATCCCATTATGTCTTCCACAGCGTTCACCGACTTTTAAGGGTTTTAAACTTTGGTCATGAGGAATGTATCGATTCAAGTGTTGGTAACATGTCCTTCCCACCTCTATTAAAAGGACTCACCTCTAATAACTACTGACATCTTGGTGGAAAAAAACTCTCATCGGTTATGCCCATACCCCTGCAAACTGCCAAAAAACAATTTCCTGCTATCCCAATTTATTACATCAGGTTCGAGCATGATGGAATACGGGCTTGCAGCAGGGCGATACAGGTAAAGGGGTTACGTTACGACATTACCATTACTTCTCCCCAAATAAACAACAACAACTCAACATCGATTACTGCGACATAAGTCCCACTACTAAGTAGTTTAGTTAGGTTACATATGGTTACACTAAGGTCGATATCCTATCCCAGCGTTAATACTACTATAGTAAGCAGTGGCAATGGTTTTGTTTTCGCAATCAGACCGTCAGGCAAGAACGGAAGTAGATTAGAGCGATTTTGTTTACCTTAATTATAAAAAGGCTTTACGACTTCAAAAACAAATTATGCGATCGATATTACGTCTGCCTAGAAATTACCAAACAATGTCACAGCAAGTTATCTCACAATGGCGATGAAAGTTTAAACTGAAAAATTTAGAAATGAAAAAATCATGTTCAGGAGTAATGTTGGTGATGAGGTGAGGGGTTGGGCCTAAGCATAGCCCACTTCTCAGTAGTGAGAATCGTTTTGGCTCTTTTTGGAAAAGGATGAAATCACAATCGCGTCTAACAATAAGCCACTTGACAAACATCAATGTTCGATGTCTCGGCCCATGAAATCAGCGTGGACATTGACTTGAAGGCCCATTCCGCGATAACTGAGGCAAGAGGACTATAACAGCTACGTTTTTGCGCTGCATAACACACATGAAGGAAACACGTCGATTCGGGGGCGGGAAATCCTGATAAGCGTACAAATCAGCTTTTCATAATTTGACGTATCATTTGTGAAAGTTAGAAGGGGAAAATTCGAATTGAGACCGGGGTAATGTGTCTTCGAAGCTTTAATAATGGTGAAAACTAAGATAGTGGTGAGTTTGTGATGTGTTACAAAAGTTTTAAGAGGAGATGACATGGAAAAGTTTCGGTAGAAATTTAAAACGAGACAGTATCACCAAAGCAGTGTAGGATTATTTTTCAAGCATACAAATTTTTCCAATCAAATTCCAATAAAAACATCTCTACGAATTTTCAATGACGTGGAAGCAATCGATAAGTGTGACAGGATGTAGCAACTACTTCTCGTGCCCTCTCCGCTCTCTTACATACGCCTTGACACTGCAACCGCTAAGGGGCGGGGTGACAATGCACCTTTGGAACCTCATAGCCGCATTTCCACAAGGCCTTTTGCCATTCAGACGTTTCTCATCGTTTCCTCCCGCAGCTGAGTACCTTTTCCACAATATCGCATAAATCGCTTTCGGATTACTCGCAGAAATCTATTGAGTTTCCCTGATTCTTTTTTTTTTCTTAATTGATTAGCATTTCCTGAAAAGGCGCCACAACGTGAAGAATTCGTGAAAGTGGCAGTCTTTCACCACTCAACAGGACAAACTCGTACAAGTCCAACACCTATTAGTTGTGCAGCGTTATAGATGTTAGCAAGAACTTGCATGTAAGATTACTAGTATCTATTTTATAAAATATAATACATATTGCAAGGAAAGATTCTCGAGGAAGCAAGCGTTTACAAATCTTTATTGAAATATATTTATAACTGTGATCTTCCTGGTCCTCGCCTCTCGCCGCTATATCTCTTGTGACGTTACATCTCTCAAGCACCCTTGCAACACATACAACACTGACTTTATGGCCGTCAATGAAATTCAAAAAAATCCATTTATCTCGTAATTGTGGAATTGACGTCAATCATTAAGGACTTCTGTTAGGACACTTAATGTATCGATCACTTGAGCATCACAACGGGAAACGGGCAGGATGTCATTCAAAAATATGCTTGTAATCAAAAAAAAATTGAGTGTTGAAGGATACCTGTTCAGTACTCGAGTCCACCGCCATCACTGATCAACGTCGTAGTGACTCCATAAAGAACAAAGCTGTAATAAACCTATTACTCCTTTTATTTCAACGACTCAGACATATTGATCTGCTTGAAAAATGATGCATAACGGTGAGGAACATGAATGAACATTAAATAGTAGCAGTATACAAATAAGTATGTACATATGAAAGTTGTAAATGAGTATATTCAAGCATAGCATGAAAGCAATTCATCAAAATGGAGACCAATGTACTTCGTAATTGACTATTTCACATGGAATTTGCACAAGTAATTACGCTCTATTAGATATTTCACAGTGCAAGGCAACTAGTAACTCTCGAAACTTTTTCGGTTACAGATTTCATTGTTACTGCTGTTTTTAGGGGGGCAGGAAAAAGCTTACTAACGATAATAGGGGAGGGAACAGTGTGGAACACACAGGTGGAAGTTAGCACACTCACTTCACTATGACAACTAGCTATATACAAAACGAAACTACACGCTTGACTTAAAAGCAAAATAACCATTACGGTGGAGAGAGAAAAAAACGCGATGTAATGTGGGTTGTTTGCCTCGTAATGTGTAGTTATAACGTCGACTATATAAAGAAAGAAAAACAAAATTTTATGGGAATATGTGAAAAACAGTAATAAGATCTGACTTTTAGGGTTTCAGTGAATGTTTCTTTGAAATGGGTTTCCACAAAGTTTCCACGAGAATTATACGAATGTGCTCAAAAAAAAAAAAAAAAAAAAAAAAAAAAAACAGGGAAGCACAAAATCCGTTAAAACCGTTATGGCCAATTTACATTTGCCTGCATTGATTATTCAATTGAAGAATTGAAATGAAGTACAGAAAGACTCTTACAACATTGAATTTCAAGCGTATCATCAGAGTCGTAGCAGGGAGTACAGTTATCTGTTACCTGTATGGGAAATTTCTGAAACTCAGTTCAAAATTGGCCTTCGCGGACGATAGTGCCACAGTAGCCACTCGAACCGCTTAGAGTCTAAATCCACACTGGTCAATCTAGCCGAAAAATACCTCGCTACCGATTTGACAGAATTAAGGAAATCTGTCTGGGACAGTACTACTGAACGGATCAGGCCGCGAATATGGGCTGGCATCTATAATACAAGTCAATAAAGAAACATTATAAACCCTGGATATCCTGCATAAAACAATGGGTGTTGAAAGCGTAACGTATCAAGAGAGATCTATTCAAAAGTGGCAAAGAATAATTAGGACAATCCTAGCAAGTGGGCGTATCCATCAATTAATTTTGTTGAAACGCGCAAGGTCACGAGTAAAGGAATAGGTTCTAAATATACAAGATCCTTGTAAGCAAAGCAATTCTCACAAGCTCACAGATTTAGTGTAAATTTAGAGTGTTCGGACACACGTACCTGAAATGAACCGAGCAATAGTTAGTCAGCGCAGTTCAGGGGTGTGGTGCAGTAGGAGCGAAATTATCGCGTCGCGGCGATAGCGCGAAGGAAGGAAGTGTAGCAGAATCCGGCAACAAGTATGAAATACAGCAACAAAAGAACTAACAGTGGAATCGTGTCAAAAGCAATAATCGCATAGTAACTGAGCTGTATGAAGAATGTTAGAACTGTTACAATGAGGCAAATGGTCCGCGACAGCCGCGCGCGGCGAATCGACTACACAAAACTGTTCCTACTGCCTGTCTCCCCCAGTTTAGTAGCAGTACCTAGATAGTAATCACTGCGCTCATTGCGAAAGTGCTGCCTATTGTCAAAGCTAGCCTGCTTTTGTAAGCCCGTTACAAACGTGGTTCCCTTACAAGTAGTAAACGTCCTTTTCCTATTCCGTAATATCACTCCTTCGCTCACTATATCGTCTTTCCCGATTGCTTCGAGAAAAGACCTTGTAAACTGTTTTATAACTTATGACTAAGCCAAATAACCTTATTATGTTAAGCGTCTAAGTGAACGCAGACAAACACAAGTAGTGTTTTTCCTGTGCATTATTTCAGTAAGTAAACAAACTACAACAACTACAAATCCGTGCATTATTGACAGCAATGACAGTCTTCTGCCCATTGAAGATACCCCAGACACCCTGCTTCCTGACCCCGCTCCTCCCCCTGCAAGACTGCCCCCTCACAAGATAGAAAGAAAGAACATTTAGTTTTCTTCACTTATTGAACCAATTCGGCTTTATCGGATACTTGTGAAACTACTGTTGCTATCCAAGACAGGACCGCGCCTGAGCGGGTTCATAGCTCTCGGAACAGACCAAAGCTGACCAGCTAATGAGGGAAACTTTTAATACAGCACAGAGGTTCTCAACAGTCGCCCTTGTGGATAAGCTTTTCAATAGCTAAATCAATTTTTAATTCTGAAAGTGATCTACAAAAACTTGCAATAAACACATCGTAAAAAAGTACTATCGATTGAATATTGTTGTGGGAAAACTAGCCAAGGGTAAAAGTCTGCCACAACACCTCTTCCTTAACAACTTCTTTTGTGCAATAAATTTATAGTTCCACATGTAAAATTCTTACAGAAGATCATCGCAGCTAAAATATTGCTGTTTGTCCAACATACGTCTCGTTATAAAGATTTTTTAGACCACCATAATTTAAGATTGCAAAGAGTATCAACTATTACTATGTTCTCTGGGAAAGGGTTCGCCTTCTAGCAGCTAATTTCTACTAACTTTACCGGAAAGTCTGATTGAAACACTGGCTTGAGATGAAAACTTTCCATTCTTCGCTTCTCCAAAAGTAAAGACACTTTTGTCAAAATCGTTTTATAGCGCAGGCGACAAATGTATAGCGGCTATGAACTGACAACAACGTCGGAATTACTTAGTAACCGGCACGGACATAGTATAAAGGAAAATCGCTTCGATAGCTTAACCAGGTAATTAACACGCACAAACCCAACTGGGTCTTTCTACGGTCACCTCTTTGTATCTGTTTGAGTTTCATCCAGGCAAAGTTTACATAAAATAAGTACGTACCGACGACTACAGGATACAAATAATTACCAGGTATAAGACAAATGGCAAATTCCCTCTTCGGAAAAATGTATCTCAACAAATTAGTGAGACGCGGAACGGCTTGGAAAAAATGCAAATGTTTACACAGAATCGTATAAAAGGGATTGTTAGAACCTTCTAAATTACTAGTTTTAGTTAAATGACTGCAGCCAGGACTAATATTAAAGTGACAGGATTAATTGGCATCAACAAAATCGTTTCTTTAAATCTATTAAATTGTCAAATCGGAAAGCATTCATATTGAAATTTTAAGGTTGAATAGACAAGTGACATCACACATTTGAAAATTACTTACTAGTGTTTAGATTCTGAATGAAATAACCATTAAGGCTTGCACGGGAAATGGCTGCAGTACGCTTCATCTGAAAGTATAACCAAACTGGGCCTTCTCCGCTCCCAAGGCATACTTCTACCAGTTCAAACCTATTCTTATGGCAGATATTCTCCTGTACACAAACACCCGAAGCAATCAATATTTTAGTAAACATTTAGCTTTTTAATAACTGAATGCTATGGAAACTATAACTTAAGTACTTTGGAATTTCATGAAGAAAAGATGTATATTTAACATAAAAAAACCGGATTTAACATTAAAAAAAAACCGCCTCCAACGAACTCTTATAGCATAAAATTTTCAAAAATTAAATTTAACACAATGATAGGAACTTATGTAGTGGAGAGTAGAACATAGCATGCAAATGCCATGGGAAAACCTTCAATATGGACGAGAGGGAGTCGATGATTAGCCGTGTCTTCGACTCCATATTGCCACTCCGGAACTATATTGCCAACTAAGAGCATTTCTTTTAGCAAGTCTTCCATTGAGCACCCTATTTTCCCAATAACTAACGACTAAAAGTGAAACGTTTCGATTAAAAACGGTTTCAAATTAATTTCAATACGCAATATTTACGTTGTTCAGTTATACTCCTTCAATTACTTCTTAGGCTGGCAACTAGGAGGTTGTTAATGTCTTAGGAAAATACAATTGCATTTTTTTTCACAGAAAAAAAAAAGAAATATTCATACAGTTACACACTGATTATGAAATACTCAAGCAACTGGTTTGTAAATGTAAATCATTGTAAAAAAAATGGCAACGATGGCAACGTGCGGGGCTGAATGCTCGAATTACGCAGTTACTTAGTTGCCAAATTAACAGTTGCTAAATCGAGTAAAAATGATTCAATTAAATATCCTTTCTACATCAACAACCGAAAGCGCTGTCACTCGTCTTAACAACTCTCACGTGGTAAGTAGGTACATAGTAGTAAGTGAGTAGAAAAACGTCATAAAAATGTGTGTTCGTAATATACGGTTACTCTAAACTTTGAAGCACTCAACCAGGATAAAAGCTAGAGGTCTTTCATGACTGCACAAGACACAGTAATCCTTGTATTGCTATTTTACTCGTATTTTACTCCAACAAATTCTCCTTTGTGCCTAATTTAATGCAACAATCAACACATCGAAATCAATTGATAAACAAATAATTCAAAACAAGTAACATTTTAAAAGATGCTGCTAATACACATAAAAAGTACAAATTTGGAAAACGAACAAAAAAGAAACATACCCTACCCACCGGGAACCATCATCTGAAGCGAAACCTCAATGCTTTCATCAAGTACATTGCCATTACTGATCGAGCGACGTTGAAAATTTTCCATGTGCATTCCATTAATCATTCTCTGACCTGAAGATTCAAATAAAGCTAGTGATGCTTTTAAATAAAATAAACACATTATGGGATAATCGACACAATCAATTACGGTGATTACCACTTATTATAAAGTCATAAGGGGCTACTCGAAGGTTATGCGCTTGCAGCATCCCATCGCGCGTCGTAAAGGGGATTATTTGAATTTCCTGTGGATGACTACGGTGATTGCCGCGAAACCACTGCCCTTACTTTAGGAATCAGATAGAAATACCTCAACCAGTTATAGACGCCATATCTCTTTCTCTCTTGCTCCATATAGAGACAATTTCATAAGAGACAGCTGCTGCCTCATTATAGCAGTACCCTTGTCGAGGTGAGCAGCCAGAACAGGTAAGCCTATCCCAGCGCGGTAATACGAGTTAACGAGGTGCTAAGTAAGTTCAGAGTGTATATTAGTGTAACCGCGCCCATTTTCCAAACTGAGCGGACTGGTGTGGATGGATGGCTGGAAATAGAAGGCCCCAGTGGGAGATGGGCAGTAGGAACGGTTTTTCTGTGATCGATTCGCCGCACGCGGCCGTCGCGGACCACTGGTTTGCCGTTATTACAGCGTTCTTCATACAGCTCCATCGATATGCGATCCTTATTTTAGGCATGATCCTACTGATGGTTCTTTTGTTCCTGTATTTCTTACCTGCTGCTGCGTTCTGCTGTATTCCGTCGCGCGCGGTGTCCCTCTCGCCGCGACGCGACAATTTCAATCCTTCTGGACCACACCCCGCCCCAGTAAGTTTCGGATCATTACAAATTTTAGTGTCAAATGTGTTTTCTTTTTTTTTTTTGAATGTTAGTTCAAATACAACCTGTTAGAGCGGCCCATTCTAAAATCTCATGCTACTCAATCAAGAAAAATAGTTTTGAAAATCGAATCTCCATTTCGCACGCGTGCGCCATACGCCTGCATCCATTCCATGTCCGTCTGCGCCTTCGCAGAAAGATTACATTGTTTTGGTCGAAGCCTCTGAAGTAATTCCAAATGGGACCGAAGCCACCTTGAAATGTCGAAATGAGTAACTACGAATACATCGGAGGAGGTCCCACTAGGCAAAGGCAAGCACTCACGGATGCTGTCTTAGTGGAAAAGATTAATGAGTCAAGAAATCTGCACCCTTCTAATGCAGTTCCACTACTCCTCTCGCGTTAGCTCACTACCAATGCTGCTTAAAGCTCAGACACTAAGGTCGCCTTGGAAAGTTTATCCTCCATGTTAGAGTCGCGTGGCATGGCAACCTACTACAACTCGAACATAAAACGACACAGGCGCACCGTTGAGGCAGAAGCAGATTCTTGATGTCCGTCAAGTTATAATAGGAAGTTGCTATGAGGAGTTTCAACCACTATCCATTCATTATGTGCTACAATCCCAGATTAAATTGACTGTTCATCAACCGAGAGTTAATTATGAACAATGTCACGTTCTTGGGTACTGGTCTGGCATAACCAACCATTACACTCACACACACACACACGCACACAGCTCGCTGCACCATACTAAGACTACGTGTTCACATATCAGACTTGAAAAATAGTATTCTTGGACTGACTACTCGAAGTGTTCATTCATTTCCCAAGTTCAATCGATGTTATACTACGCTGATATCCTAAACTAGGACGGACCGAAACTACGGAACTCGCGCGGGTTATAAAAAACAGTGGGAAATTCACGGGAGACGGGCGTTAGGAACGATTTTGGGTAATCGATTCGCCGCACGCGGCTATCGCGGGCCACTCATTCGCCGTTATTACAGCTCCAGCGTTCTTCATACAGCTTAATCGATATACGATCATTATTTTATACATAATTCTACTATTAGTACTTTTGTTCCTGTATTTCTTACTTACTGCTGCATCCTGCTACATTCCTTCGCGCGCGACGCCCNTCTCACCGCGACGCGACCATTTCGTTCCTAATGCACCACACCCGAAATTCACCCATAAAAACGGAAAATCGAGGGTCAGGTATGTTCTCCCCGGATACGACGTCGCACTCGCCGTATCCGATGGCGCGCATTCGGGCGGTAAGATTTGAATCTCCAGTGGAAGGGTAGAAGAGCCGCCGCGTGGCCTTTGCCGCCTGCAGTGGGAGTTCGGGGAGAAGTTCCATTACCTGAAAATCGAGGCGGGAAGCCGGCCTCTACTCCATTTCGGCAGTGGGTCCTGGCACGAAAGCCTGGAAGGGTGCAGCACAGTCAGACGAGCGCCTCACTTTGCTGCTTGCCCAGTTTCTTTTTTCGTTTGAGTGATAGGGCAGAATACATGCATTGATCTAAAGGGTTATACTGCGGAATGAATATATTTCCAGAAGGCCACAGCTGTGTTCTAGTCCACCACAAGGAAATGTGTGAACCATTCTTCAGGTCTCGTCCCTTAACGTACATTCGACGCGCACAGGTCCGCTTTATTACAAGTTTAGAGACGAACTCGTTTTCTTACAAGTAATTATTACAAATGAATTCCTCGTTTACAGCATAATAAAACGAACATCGTCTTAAATTCTCTCCCGTCCAAGATGTAAAAAAAAGCTTCAATTCAGAAAAAAGTCACAAAATGTACACAACATGCAACGATTCAACAGCATTCACAGTATCTTACAAGGAGAAGCTTTCCCATGAATGATCTAAACAACTAGTGGGTGGGGGTTTGTTGCCCTAAATTATTATACAATGGTTAATCTGAGGTATAATTCTCTAGCCGATAGATCCTGCATAAATACGACTACATAAGAAATCTAACCGGGTCTAGTACCAATAGGTAACAGAATTCTCTACATGCTGTATAAAACTATCATAAGAAATGATGAGAAATCAGTCAAACGACGGTCAATACGTAGAAATAAATTTACAAAGATAGTAAGAGAAATTTTAAAAAAATCAGTGTTTCGAGAAATAGTATTCTTCGAAAAGTAGGAAAGGAACGGATTGCATGAATGCAATTTGTGGAATGAACGGGTTAAATACAACGTATGCGTACTAGTACAACAGCTAACCTATGACAACGCGGACAAACTGCTAAAATCTCATTATTAAATAATATCTACAGTAGTTAATGTTCATTGGAACGGGAACGATAGTAATGGTGACCCTTGTCATATTTTTCAAAGTGGAAATGCGATGTGTCCGAATGATTTACACGTATTGACTTTAATAGTTCTCCCGCTGGGCATAAAACAGGACGATAAGAGAAGTCCTGAAATACTATTTTTTCTTGTAAGATGTTAAAGAATAACGGAGATGCCTTATTTATCCAAATATTATTACAAAAAAAAGATACAGAATAAGCATAACTCACCATATCATAACTCGATAGTATAGCGGCGCCGTTTCGCTCCCTTTGCCTACTCATTCTTTCCTTTAAGGGACCATTTGACCTGACGGTACTTCTTGCTGCAAACGAAACCTTTCAAATCTACGAAATTACAAAAGGAATGGCAAAATCACAAGAAACTAGTAATCAACTAATAATTCGGCTTGTACAAAGAGGATAGTCTTGAACATGCAAGTAACAACTTACAGTGTCCCTCTCGTGAGGAATCCGAACGGTTAAGTGACTCTGCGGACAATCGTAGTCTTTGTGAAGGTAGTGTAGTTTTTCCATTTTGAGTGGCAAGCGACTCCAAACTGTTTGTCTTGAATACAGATAGAATTGAAATTTTGAGCTAAGTTTTTCAATAACCAAGCAAGTGATCTCACCTTGAAAAGTTGGGCAGAAGATGGTCCAGCATAACCAAGTTCCTTACAGGCTGCGTGACCGTCATCCCTAAGGATTTGGAACAGCCTCGAGTCTTTACCATTACGAAATTGCGTAGTGCTGCTGATCGTTTTCTTCTCCACCAATTTGCTGCCTGCTGAGTCTGTTCTTAGATTACTGAGTTCCCTGTTCAAGCTTCGGCTACGCTGTTTTCCATTCCCAGAAGAGTAATCCTTCTGGTACATGGTCATTTCCCTGAATAAGCCGGTCCCTTTCAAAACATCGGAATCTTCAGGCCTTCTTACATCATAGCGCTCTCCCTTGGTGACGACAAACTCTAGATGATTCATAGTCTTGTCTGTGAATGAGCCGTCTCCTCGAAGGATCCCGGAATCTTTGGGTTTCTTCAGATCATAGCGCTCTCCTCTAATAACAGTGAATTCTTGCTGATTCATGGTCCTGTACGTGAACGAACCGTCTCCTTGGAGAACCTTGGAGTCCTTTGGCCTTTTCAC